GAAATCTTATGAAGGAGGGCCCAGCAATCTCCCCATTGGACAGAAGAGGAAACTGGACCTTTGAGAGCCAGCCACTTGCCAGGGTCACAGTCCACAAGAGTGGACATAGGTTGATCAGAAACCAGAAGCCAAGCTCTTAACCGCAGGTGAGCTTTTCTCCTTCAAACACAATACTGAGAGGTGAACGGAGAAAAGCCCTCAGCCCCAGTATTCAAGGTTAATGTCTGAACAGGAGAGCAGCCAACCCTGAGAACGCAGGAAGTGGTTTTCCTTTTTTTTTTTTTTTTTTTAAGTTTCATTGAATTACCTAGAACTCTGTGTTCTTCCCCTCCCACCGCACCCAGCACAACCTTCCTTCCCAATTGCATAATGGGCCTCAGGCATTTGGAGGGAGGGCAAAAATTAGTGTAAATCCATCTGTAAAATAATCACATCTTTACTATTTAAAAGTGGTTTTAAAGTGCTTCCGTGGTTGGGGAAGAAATCTATCCTGTGGTGGCTGGGGTTTGGGATGGGGAGCAGATGCTAATTCTAAGGTCAGGTAGGACAGAGGGGTCCTTCTGCCTCAGGGGCAGACCCCAAGGCACAGACAGCAGGAGGGTAGATAAGCACAGAGAGGGAAAAAAGGCCAGAATTGGGGCAGGGAACAGCACTAGACTCTGAAAACACTAGCATGAGCACCTGCTATAGACAGTGCTCCCGCCCTTCATCCCTTACTCTCATCCATCTGCCCACAAGTAGCCCTTCCAACCTTCCTCTAGCCTTGCAACATGTCACAGGGCAGAACATGGAACTTCCTGCCCACTGTCACCCACAGCATGGCCTGGAATCCTTCATCTACTGCTTTCCAAACAGAGAAGGCTCCCCAGCCACAAGCCCTGAAATCTCTCCTCATGTGCAACTCAGCCAAGAATAGAGGAAAAATGGAACCCATTATTCTCATTCTGAATGGCTGGGAAATGGCTTTTGCTTTTCAACATGAAATGTGCCTAAAAATAAGCTGTGAATTTTAACCAGAGGTTGAAAATAGCTCTGCAGTGAACAGAGCTCTGTTCAGAGTGGGCTCATGGACAGCCTTCATTCCAAGATCAGAAAAGCTGAAACACCACAGTCAAAGAAGGGGTCACAGGCAGGGGGTTTTCCAGAGTGAAGGGACTATCAAGGACTCACAGGGCTGCCCTTGCCATGGTCTGCTGATGAGTGAGCAGATGAAGGGACTCCGGCAGGGTCTGCTCCTCTAGCTTTTCGATGGCCACACTAGAATAGGCACATGGTCAGGAATTCAAAACTACGCCTGGCCCCTGGACGTCCTTAAATATCCACATGCCTAGGAGTGCTTCTTGACGCTTCAGTGCCTTAGGCACAATGTGTGGACAGAGCTGAAAGGGTGGGGGAGTAGGGGGGTCATCAAATTCATGAGTTCCTGGGGTACGGCTGTGGTGTTATGGGCTCTGTGAGAAGTCAAGACACCAAACTCTGGTCAGCCACCAAACCTCTCTTCAGATATTATCTAAGAGCCCCGGAAGCCTTTAGGCAGGAAGGGCAAGAACAAACTCCAATTTTAAGTGAAGAAAATTAAATTGCTAAAGGCAAAAGGTCTTTTCTTGGCAGGTTGTTTGTCTGTTTTGCAGTATTGAGGACTGAACCTAGGGCCTTCTGCAAAAGGCCATTATCTCTAGAACACTCTTAAATTTGATAGACCAAACATTTCCACAAAATGGGCTTTCATTAGAAACACAGGCTGAAGGCCAGGTACAGGGGACCATGCCTGTAATCCCAACTACTCTGAAGACAGAGACTGGGAGGATCACAGTCAAGGCCAGAGTGGGAAAAAAGAGACACCCCATCTCAACAAAAAGGCTGCATGTGATAGTATATGCCTGTCATCCTAGCTATGTGGGAGGATCCCAGTCCAGGCCATATCAGACAATAAAAACAAGAGAACCTACCTAAAAAATAACCAAAGCAAAAAGGGCGGCGGTGGGGGGGGGTGGTGATATGACTCAAGTGGTAAGAGTGCTTGCCTAGCAATCTTGAGGCCCTGAGTTCAAATCCTGCTACCACTGAGAAATTTGGGCCACAGTTGCTAGGTGCTCAGAACCAGCCCAACAGAGCAGAATCCTCACACAGGGCTGCTAGAATGGCCTTTCTCAGCTGCCTCTCTCCATGCTCCTGTCCCTCTCCATACCCCCTCCCACAGTCCTCCAGCCCCCTTGTTCCTCTCACTGCTAGGCCAGCCTCCTTTCTGGGCTCACTTCTGAGGCAGAAGGTATTGCTGCAATTCTCAACTGGGGACATCTGACAATATCTGAAGATACTTCTGGTCATCACAACTGCGGGATAGAGGGCAGGACGCTGCTGGCATCTACTGGGTAAAGGCCAGGGATGCAACAAAACATTCTATATGGGGCAGCATCCACGACAAAGAATTATCTGGCTCAAAGTATGAACATGGCTGAGGCTGAGCAACCCTGGGTTTATGGAAGGATGGAATGTGGACAGAGATGGAGGGAAGGGCTTATTGGACTCACAGTTTGCAGGTATGGCAGTCCTGGCTTCCCTGAGCTGCTGAGACACCCTGGCCAGCCAGGGACTCTCAGTGCCAGTGAAAGCTTTGGCAAGTAGGGCTCAGTTTCTCTTCCTATCTCAGGAGAAACCCTAATCACCAACAGTGTTAGAAAAACCAAGCCTCCTCAGTCTAGGAGGATGAAAACGTTCTAGAGATGACAGTGATGGCTGCGCAATGTGAGTGTACTTCATGCTGTTTGGAGCTATGCTCTTAAAAGATTAAAATGGTCAAGTTTGTGTTGTGTGTGTGTGTGTGTGTGTGTGTGTGGTGAAAGCACAAAAAAACAAAACGCACAGAGAAGCCTCACATGGTATGTATGTTTGGCAAGGATATGTCTAGAGAAGGCCATGTGTCCATTCAAGACTCTCAGAGGGGTTTATGACAAACAAGCAAAGAGCTCTGACTGGATCTCCACCAAGAATGACAGGAGGATTAGCTCACTCCAGGGGATAACAGAGCTCACCATTACATGTGGGTCCTCAGGACCCAACTGAGGAAATGGAGAGTGGTGCTTTGCTCAGGGCCACATGTTATCTGGATTTAGACCCAGTTCCCTGACTCCAGAACCCACATCCTGTCCCTTATTTGAGCCCCATGGGGATGCCCAGTGCCAGAGCTATAATAATAGCTCTGATGTAGGCCTAAAGGGAACAGCTGGCTTCCTCAAACTCTGCTAAGCTGTTCACTCATCCCTACCCCTTCCCATCATGCTGGCTCCCCATATCCCACATGACCTCAACCCAGATTCTCAGGACCTGAAGCTCTGGCGCACAAGGGGGCCCAAAACCCCATCTCTGAGCTAGGACTGAAGGAAGATATCTTCCTAGCATCTCTAAGAAAAAGAACAGGATTTCCCCCAGCTTGTGGATACTAACCATTCCCAAAGACAGACAGCAGTCTCTACCTAGGAGGGAAAAGAGCTGCCAGACAGTCCTCCAGACCTGCAGCAACTAGTTTCCTTAGCCCTGTTCAGAGGGGCCAGGATGACTAAGCCCAAGGTGTCTCACCTATAAAATGGAGCTGTAATTTTACCCACTCATTCTGATAAGGAATGAGCAGGTAGCACATGCAAAAGGCCTTGGTATGCCTGACTCACCGTAAGTACCCAATAGACAGGGAGTCATAGGGAAAGAGCAGGGCAGGGATCCCAGAGGATCCCAACCTTGCAGTTGGAAATGCTTTTCTAGGTGAAGATGAACCGGCAGAAAGCAGACTATCATGCAATTCAGTCACTCCAACAAACTCAAAAGCTGAGAACTAATTAGCAAGTGTGATAAAAGAACAAAACCTCCCAGCTATGGTGGCCAGTGATCCTTGGGAGAAAACTGTAAAACCCAACCTGAGCACCTGCCTAGCAAGAGCAAGACCAAGTTCAAACCCCAGTACAGCCAAAAAAAATTTTTTTCAAATGGTATTAAATTCCAAGAACATGTCTTTATTTGCTGGGGGCATAACTCAAGTGGTAGGGCACCTGCCTGGCAAGTGGTGAAGCCCTCAATTCAAACCCCTGTATTGAAAACAAAACAAAACAAAAACCAATCTGGCCTATTCCTAGAGATAGCCCCAGCACACAGAATGATGTGTTTGAGCATGGTGGGGGGGAGATCCATCTGCTGGAGCCACAGTAAGATCCGGGATAGACTAGGGAGGCTTCCTGGTTCTATTCTGGGCCCCAGCCTTGAGTTTCTGGGGGATTTGGGCGAGCCGCTTCCTGTTGTTTGAGCCAGTTTCCGCTTGTGGGGGAGGCTATGCTATCTCTAAGATCCAGTGGGGAGAGATTTAAGTAACCTGGAGCCACACAAGCTCAAAACTCTTAGGGTTCTGCAACCTTTTATTTCAGTTAAAGGTTAATTTGGCTTTACTTATGATACTATATCAATTAGCATTTTTCTTCCCCCAAAATTTGTCAAAAAATATTAATTATTTTAATTCAGGAACAATGAATGCCCTTTTACCAAAAAAGGTATTAAAAATGTTTGTGGCTAAGAAACTCTCTCTCCATGGTTTAAAAAAAATGGGAGTGGGGGAAGTGAGAGAAACTCAAGAGACAAAAATGAGGGCCTTTCCCATTCATCTCAGCTGTAGCTTTGGGACCTGAACGCTCTAGGAACCTTATACTTGAGTCTTGTGGCCCAAGGCTTGGCAAGGGACAAAGTGTTTTTTTCTTGGGCCTCACTGTAGCAGCAGGATGTGTCACAGAAACACTCCCCCACCAAATGGGCCAGAGTCCTGGCACCCAACAGCCTTTTATGTTTATTCTAGATATGAATTAAAGCACCAAAGTATTATTTGGTAGGTGACCAGATCTCACTAGGGTCCCTTTCCAGTAACCAGCCTAAGTACACACCATGTCTGAGTCCAAGGCTGATCACTTTGACCCAGCCCAAAGTCACAAGCCCAAAGTCATGGACATGTCTGCCAAACAACTTACCAGATTCCCTGCAGAGCTGGTCAGTGTGGCTGGGGACCTCTGCCCTTTTATAATTTCTCCATAATCAACAACATCAAAGTTACTCTTCCAAACCATTACCTGCCAAGACCAATAGGCACAGAGAATGAGGGGGAGAAAAATATCTTTCGTCAGCCCTTTTGTCAATTGTACAAAATAATGGGTTTCATTTTGACATTTTCATATGTTTATAACCTATACATTCCCCCATCACCCTCTTTTGTCTCCTCCCCTCCTGTTGGATCCCCCGCCCTGGCCTCCAAAATAGTCCCCCTCAAACAGTCCCCCTATTCATATCTTTGTTTTTAGATCTAAATTTTATACACAAGAAAAAACATGCAATATTTATCTGAGTCTGACTTCTTTCACTTAACATGATGATCTCTAGTTTCATCCCTTTTTTTCAGCAAATGATATAATTTCATTCTTCTTTATGTCTGAATAACTTCTGCATTGGGTACATATACCATAATTTCCTTCATATGTTCATCCACTGATGGGCACCTAGGCTGACTCCACAATTTAGCTATTGTGAATAGTGCCACAATGAACATGGATGTCCAGTTGTCTACAGTGTATGTTGACTTACATTCCTTCACACATATGCCCAGGTATGGCAGGATCATATGGTAGCTCTAGTTTTAGTTTCTTGAGGAACATCCACACTGATTTCCACAGTGGCTGCACTAATTTATATTCTCATCAACAGTGTATAAGGGTTTCTTTTTTTCCCTGCATCCTCACCAGCATTTGTTGTTGCCTGGGAGGAAAATATCTTGTCAGCTTCTTTTACGGAGAAAATGGGCCCAGAGACCCACCTGCCCTACTTTCTGAAGGAGACTTTGGGGACAGGCCTCAAGAGGACCTGGGGGCCATGCACTGGTGGCTCATGCCTGTGATCCTAGCTACTCAGGAGGCAGAGATGAGGAGGATCATGGTTCGAAGCCAGCCTAGGCAAATAGTTCATGAGACCCTATCTTCCTAACACAAAAAGCGCTGGTGGAGTGGCTCAAGGTGTAGGCCCTGAGTTCAAGCCCCGGTATTGCAAAAATAAATAAATAAATAAATAAATAAATAGGACCTGGATGTACAACGGATGGAATATTACTGTGCGGCCACCACTAGGCTTTAGCACTTGCTTGTCTCTCTATCTGGGAGTGTATATATATTTCACTGTGTACATATGCCATATTTTCTTTATACCTCAGCATCAGTCAGTAGTTACTGAAATTTATTCGTCACTTTTCCTTGTTTAGCACCTATCTCTGCACTAAAATGGAAGCTCCTGAGGGTGGTGGCCTGGCCTGTGACACTGTGGTAAGTGGTGAACATATGGACTCCAGGCCAGACCGCTGAGGTCCTGGCTCCACCCCTTACTGTGAGGCTCTGAGCAAGGGACTCAGCCTATGCCTCAGAGCCCTCTTCTGTGAAAAGGGGATGATCTTAGCCCCCACCTCGTAAAGCTGCTGGCAGGCTCACAGGACACAGTGTGGCACAGACACTGGCATCTGGGCAGTATACAGTAACGCACCTGTTATTCCAAGGCTAGTCAGTAAGTTTAGTCATAAAAACACACCTCAATTTGATCAAGGCTAGAGGCTCCTCAACAAAAGCTGAGGGAGCTGCCTTGCTGGGGAGCAAGAGCACTCCCTGCTGGAGGCTGGAGGCCATATACAGCTGGGTGTTTCCAGGGCCACGTCAAGGATGGCTGGCTTGGGCTTCACAATGGGAATCATGGAGGGTGGCCAAGTAGTCATTGGAGGCCACCAAAAAACAATCATATATAAGATGACCATTCAATGTGCCCTCAATGCCATCCCTGTCAGGACACAGCTGTGAGCCTGATTCTTTCAGAGGTTCCTCACCACTCCCTGAGCAGCAAGCACCACTGATTTTTGCTCTCAGAGACAGTCAGGTGTGCCTCTTATTTGTCACTTTACAAATAGAACATCTACAGAAACACACTTTTGTGTATGTGGCCCTTGTATAACTGCATACGATTCCTACCAGCAGACCGGCTAGTGTGAATGTGAAGAGATAATGCCAAATATCACTCCAGAAAAGCTCTCAGAGCAGACTTTAAAAAGGCATCCAAAAGGGCTGAGGGCCTAGCTCAAGTGGTAAATTGCCTGCCTAGCAAGTGCAAGGCCCTGAGTTCAAACCTCAGTACTACAAAAATAAATAAATAACCAAAAAGGTAAGTAGGGAGCTGATAGCCATAGCTACCTAAGGAGGGGCCAGAGCAAGTGGAAGCCCTATTTCCCACTAGATTGCCTCTTGTGATTTGATTGCACCGTGACTCTGTTTACTATGTAAAACTACTACACAATTTCTGTGTCATCTAAGCAAAGAGCCAGGCCTCATAGGAAGACTCAGGGGTCCCAATTAATACTTCCTCCTCCCTTGGTAGTCTGTCCCCAGAGTCGGGGGGAAGATGCCCGCTGGCTCTTACCCAGGCTGTGGTCAAAGAGTCCCTAGCTACCATTTGCCTTACTGGCAGACACTCAACCAAATCAGTAAGTACAGCTGGCTGGAGTTGGGGCTCGTGTAAGCCCAGGACTTGTCTGGGGTAAGCAGCTACAACTGTGAGGCCAACACCTGCGGGATGAACATTCTCAGCAATCCACCAGGTTAACAGTGGCTCACAGCAGTCAACCTTTCCTCCCTACCTCAGGATGGTTCTCTAGAGAAGAGGGGCTGCACAAGATACTTGGAGCAAAGTCTGCCAACAGGTGGACTGCTCAGTGCTCCTGACCTTTCTATTGCTAAGCTCTGGCTAGACCCCAGGGGCGATGGTGCTGGCTAGCAGACAAATCATTGGCATTTAGCAGTCTGGACAAAGAGGCACCAGAGTTAATAGGCTGGAGCCTCTGTACAAAGGGTGACGGGGCAGGACAGTATTTCCTCTTAAATGTCCTCTCTCTGTAGCCAAGAATATTAAAATACTGACCCCTCAAGTGCTCAAGTGAGTTGGGGAGCAAAGGACAGTAGACAATGGAGCTGGGGCTCCAAGGGGCATGGCTCTGACGTGAGACTGGCCAGGTACTTGTTCCATCTTTGCCATATGCTAGGACTCAGTTTTCTCATCTACAGAAGATGCAGGTTTGCCCTACAGGGCTGTTGTGAGAATCAAAGAAGGTAAGAAACTCTTGTTACACTGACTACATTACCAGGCCAGCAGTAAGTATCCAATATCTTATTTATTTATAATAAAAATAAATAAATAAATAAAGCCAAGCACCAGTGGCTCACACCTGTAATTCCAGCTACTCCGGAGGACTGCAGTTTGAAGCCAGCCCAGGCAAATAGTTTGGGAGACCCTATCTTGAAAACACCCTTCACAAAAAAGGGCTGGTGGAGTGGCTCAAGGTGTAGGCCCTGAGTTCAAACCCCAGTACCACACACACACACACCCCAAAAAATTTTTTAAGCTTCAACGTTTTCATAGCAACAATAGCCCAAACTCCTTCCCACCCACACTAGGCACTTTGAGACTCTGCCACAAGATTGGCACTGCAGGACCTGTTTTGGGGCAGCAAAGGCCTTGGATCTGAGCACTCCCACGCCAAACTCCATCAGGAACTTTGCAATCATAGTTGCTGAAAGTCAGCAAGGCCCAGCCTCTCGGTGGAATCTGAGCAGGATCAATTCATATTCCTCAGGCCAATCTTTCTTACCTGTTCATCAGAACCTCCAGAAGCAAAATACTCCCCTGTTCTTGAAAAAGCAACAGTGGTGGCAGGTCCCTAAAAGAGCAAACAAACAAAAAAACACCAAAGGTCACTCTAGAGTCTAAATGTACAGGAAGAAAACTAGCAGTTCTCATTCACAGAGCAGCAGTGGGACAAAGGACTGAACACCCATTTAGTCCCCAGTCCTCTCTGGCCTTTGCCAGAGAAGCCGGCACGTGGCCAGGTGCAAATACCACTGCTGAGCCCTCTGTTGCCGAGCACCTTGCCAGGATGCAGGACTATGGGAAGGTAGAGACAAGTGAACAGGATAGTTTACACTCACAGTCTCTACAAGGCTGGCATCTTTGTCTTTGCTTCCCCAGTGAGAACTGAGAGGTCAGAGAGCTGTACCAACTGACCCATGACTATAGCCCAGGGACCAGAAGTCAATCTTCTGATCCAGCTGCAGTAAGTTGGAGCCCTGAGGATAAGCTCAAGTAAACAGGGCACAACTGCAGGCCCAGGTGGCAGGAAGGTGTCTAGGCAGTGGACCAATATGATGCATCCCTGTAACATGCATGCCATCTTCCTTGTGTGGGAAAATGTGCCCCTCTGTCTTCCCAGGTGCTGAAGTGCAGCAAGACCATCTGCAAGGGAATGCCAAGCACATTCTAGGCAGCTCTGAGGTCAGATCTGGTAAAGAAAGAGGGTTCTTCCCCATCCACCTGAAATATATTCCAGAAAGATATACCAAGCAAGAATCTGTTTGAAACCCCTACAGCTACTCCCATCAATTCCTCCCAGTTGAATCTGAATTGTGGCCAGTACCTGGCATTTCTCACGAAGGAAAAAAAAAGAGAGAGAGAGAGAAAAGAGGTTCTCTTAGATGAGGACCATACAGCCACCATCACAAAGGCCACTTCAGTTTCTTTAGACCAGCACAGAGAATGGCAAGAGCCCCAACTCTCCACAAGAGAGGCTTCAGCAGCAAAACCTGGGCTGGAGACAAGCATCTTCTGCTCAGTGCCAGAAAGGAACACCAAAGCCATGGAGCAAGGGAGCTTCTGTTCCCTCAAGAGACAAGCAGGCTGAGAGGTGCCAGGGTCAGGCACATAGGACAGAAGGGCACATGTCTGACCCATGCTTCTGGAGTCCACCTGTGCTTTTCCTCTCAGAGATGCTCACAACAGGGCGACAAGGAAGAGTTCAACACTAGCTAATACTGGCTCAGAGCACTTCACCCTAACCCACTTAGTCCTCAGAGGACAGTTTGTGCAGTTACCCTTCCAAGTGAGGGGAACAAAGCCTGAGAGGACACAAAGACAATGCCTTTAGCCTATACCTGCAGGTAACCTGTCTTCTCTACATAAGTGGAGCCAAGGGCTTGAGCATGCCTGCTCCAGCAGCCCCAGGAATCCTAAACTGCCATTAACAAGGATAAAGTGGATCCACTTATGCTGATGGGGAACAAATGCCTACTAACATCAGTGAGAGTCAAACACCAGGTGCCTGGCATCATGGGCCATGGGCTCCGTTTGCATAACACTGGCTGCAAGTGCAGAGCCTGAGTGTAGGATGGGAGCAGGGCATGAATCACTGAGGCATCCTTCCAGGTAAATAGTTGGCAAGAGGTTAACAGGGCTGAGTGAGTGAGGTGGCACAATTTCAGATAATTTTTACTTGATTCTTAGAAATTTTTGCCATTCTCATACTTTGAATATTAATAATGCGTATATGGCATTTCTACATTAACATAATGACAAAACAACAAAATGGATTTCATTTTCAGGAAAAACAAAGAGGGAACAAAGAAAAGGGAAGGAAACCAGTACATGAAGTTTCAAAAAAGATGGGCCTTTTGCCTACCCAGAGTTCACTGGGTATGGCAGGTTTCCAAGAAGATTCAGCCACTAAGGGACCAAATAAATACTCATGGGTCATGCTCCTTGACTGTTATCACTCAACCACCAGATGCCAAGTTGGGAACAAGATGTCAGAGGCAGAGAGAGCAGTGGCAACAGCAGCAGACACACCAGGGAATGTGCCCAGCAGCCACAGCTCAGCAGGAGGATTAGGACCAGAGAGAGGGCAGGTGGTGGGAACCCTCCAAACAACAAGTGTAGTGCTGACTTACAGATCAAGTCTCAGGAAACTCAGGGATAGAGCAAGTAGCCAGTCCTGCGTGCAGTCCTTCCCAGCAATGCCCACTGACCAAGAGGACTGCACAGCTCCCGCACCAGGCACTCCACATTCCTAGAAAAAGTGGTCTTCTAGAGACTACTGCTCATCTGCCCAGGCCCACACAGCAGCCCTGGGCACTCAGATTATATCACTCGGGAAGCTTTGTAGCCTTTAGTTTGTGCAAGTTCATGCTCTGATATTTGTCCAATGTTGAAATCACCTCATATATTTCTCCTATCATGTCCCCATTGTTAAACATCACATAACTACATAGACCAGACTGTCCAATGCTAACCCACTTTGGGGTTTGGCTTTCTACACCCAGACAAGCTAGCCCCTACCAACCTTGCCAGGCCCTCTCCTTCTGCCCTCAGCAATGGTCCAGCTCATGAGACTACTTATTCAGTTCTCTTCAAATGCTGAGCTAGAAAAAGTCTTCTCTTTCTCAGAGCTCTTTCTTTAGCCTCCTGCATTGAGCTCTTAACTCAGTGATTTTCAGTCTTCTTTTTTTTTTTTTGGTAATACTAGTGTTTGAACTCAGGACCTCAAGCTTGTTAGGCAGGTGCTCTACCACTTGAGCCATGTCTCCAGTCCAATCTTTCTTCATTTTAAATAAATTCATTTGAGGCTACAAATTTGTCTCTCATGACCACCTTAGTCAGATCCCAAGAGTTTCTAACACAATGTTTTCACTATCACTCCCTTCTAAATTATTAGTTTCCACTTTGAGAGCCTCTTTAGGCCGCTGGTTACTTGCAAGTGCCTTCTAAAGTTTCCAAACTAAGAGCACTTGGAGGAATCTTTTAGGGTAGTGATTGGATACATATTCTTTGAGAATGTTCCATCTTCATGGTGGCCTATTCCTTTCATTTAATCAATCTCAATGCACCAGGTGCAGCTCTGGACAGGGATGTTGCTGAACTTTCTTCCCATAGGCTAGGCCTGCCCCTGGGTGCCTCCACAAGGACTCCTGATTGTTACCTGAGCAGCAGCTCTTGACTGAGCCTTCAGCAGTGTGAATTCTGCCTTCCCTGAGCACCAGAAGGGCCTGCCTACCTGGACCCCACCTGACTCCTAGGCAGGTTCACAGGCAGCAATGCTCCAAAGGCTCAATCAGGGCCAACCCCTTCCTCTAAAAGACCTTTTATGAAATGATCTTGCCTAATCTATTATGAGCACTGGACATACCTGGTACCCATCCTTTCCCTCCTGACTCCATCACACTGGCCCTTGAACTTGGCTGGATCCACATCCAGTCATTTTATCACACGCCACCTCTCCGTTGCCAATTTCCAGATGCAAGGGATCCACACTGTCTGGTTTCTTCGAACAGCACACATCAATGGAACAAACAAACAAATCAATGGAACCCTCCCGCCTGACTTGCTGAGGCACCTGCATGCCTGAACTCTGATTGCAGTGCTGACAACAGCTATGCTGGCAAAAACCCAGCCAGGTGACCTCACCCACCACACCTCATAAAAAGCTGTGAAATATTTTACATTGGCTCTCACATTCACAGCCTACCAGCAAACAAATAGGATGTCACACCACATGCCACCAAGTCAGAGATAAAAGTAGAGTGGACATCAAGCAGAGAGACATGAAGACCAAAAAAGGCCTGAGAGGACTCTGGCATGGGTGCTTTGGCCTCTGATCCCTGTGTTCAGGCAGAGAAACTGCAATCCAGTCCACAGGCTGCTCCCTCCATAAACCCCTACAAGGGCTCCTGAGTCCAAGTGGTGACCCACAGGTGCCCTCACCATCACAACCCAGTGAACACTCTGGGTTGCTGGCAGGGGACAGAGGGCCAGGCTGACACTAGGTTACTTTAGAGTGGAATAAACGAACTATTCTTTCTCTTCATGTCCCCTTCCCTTTCCCAAAAGGAGCCCAACCATCCAAACTAGGTATGGCCCTCCTGAGCATCAAAATAATCCTCCAAAATGAAATGACTGAACAAGAGCTGCACAGTGTTTGAAGAAAGAGGAGAAGCACATTCCGAGATCTTCCTTCCACCTAGGGCAGCCTGCAGGGCAGCCCACATGCCCAGGACTCTTGTCACACTGCTGCCTCCCTTCCTTCATGGTAAGCCCCCTTTGTCATCAATTCCCCAACCCTGGCCTAGGGCTGGATGGCATGAGTGCCTAGAAAACACTTGTAGGTCCTGCTCTCAGAGTCTGAGCTCTTGCCACCAGGCAGTTAGCAGTCCTGTGCAGGTCTCAGGCCTGCTCACTGACACTGGGGGCTGGCTGGGCTCACGGAACACATGCAGCTCAGTCACTCTGCAACGACACTGCAGAGACATGCACACCAACTGCATAGCCACCAATGCCAGACTTAACTCCCTGCCACGGCCCGCCCACCATCCTCTTCCAAATAGATTCAGGGGACTTAAACCAAATGAGCATGGTGCAAGATTATGTTTCAGAAAACACAGAAAAATAAATCTGTATTTCTAGCCTCTTGCCCCCACACTTGCCTCACACACAGAGCCGGGAGGACCTCAATCAGGGAATGAGGCTTCAAATGACAGCCACAGTTGGTAGAAAAGCCCTTCCCTCTCCCTCTGGTATTCCCTGACATAAAATGAGGGGGTGCATGAGGATGATGAAGCTTTTTTGCCACTCTGATATCCCCAAATCTGCATTATCTCCAGTGAGAATCAGGGACTCCCTTTCTTCCTTCTTAACCATTGTCACCATGGCAAATCCCCCAGGTCACAGAAAGGGCCCTGGCACCCCAGCCAACACAATACCACTGTGCAGGTCTCCTGATGCCCCATGTCAGGACCTGGAAGAGATGACTCCATGGAGGGAACTAGTCAGGTGCACTGCAAATGGAACCATAGACCAAGGTACCTGGCCAGGCAAGCCCACTATGAACAGCTAGCT